ACGGATTCATTTTTTATTTCTTTTGCGGGGGCCAGAAAAGGGCAAAAAGCCTCCAGGCACAGGGTAGCTAGATGGTTAAAGTTAGTAATTGAGCAGGCACACCGGACCGAGGGTCTAGAAGTCCCAGAGGGAATCAGGGCTCATTCTACACGGGCCATGACGGCAACGCAAGTGGAACTGGCAGGAGCCTCCCCGGGACAGATTCGTAAGGCCGCAACCTGGTCCAGTTACAGGACATTTGTGAGGCATCACAGACTTGACCTGGTCTCGGTGCAGGAGCAGGCCTTCAGACGTAAGGTGCTGCAAGCAGTGGGCCCGCCCGAGGGGTAAGTACTCGCTTATCCTCTCAAGGTGCTGTCCTGAAAGACGAAGGGAGAAAATCAAAGTTACACTTACGGTAACACCTTTTTCAGTAGTCTTTCAGGACAGCATCGGTTACCCAACCCTTGTTGCAGAGTTGTTGTGTGAGATGACTTATGGTATGTTCTGGTGTCTCATATTATGTCTCCCCAGGTGACCGGAGGTACGGTTCCAGGAACTGAGGTCGGAGGGGAGTGATGGTGCTTTTTGTTTAGGGTGGAGGTGTTTCCTCAGGTGGGGAGGAGCCGAGGCCTCTCAAGGTGCTGTCCTGAAAGACTACTGGAAAAGGCGTTACCGTAAGTGTAACTTTGATTTTTTTTTTTTTTTTATAGCGCAAAAAAATAAAAACACACAGGTGATCAAATACCACAGAAAGAAAGCTCAATCATGGGGAAAAAAAGGACGTAAATTTCATTTGGGTCAGTGTTGCATGACCGCGCAATTGTTAGTTAAAGTAATGCAAAAAAATGGCCTGGTCAGGAAGGGGGGATCCTGAGCATTGCAAGTGGTTAATGCATCAGCTCATACCCCACAGTTATTACCTTTTGTCCCACCAGCCCCTCCCTATTAGATTGTAAGCTCCCAGGATCAGGGCCTGGTCAGGAGGCGGGGGGGGGGGGGGGGGGGGTAAATTGGGTAAATCCTCAGGCAGGCAAGCAAGTGGTTAATAGCAAAAAGTCAAAAATGTTTTTTTTTCTCAAAATTGTCAGCCTTTTTTTCTATAGCACAAAAAATTAAAACCGCACAGGCGATCAAATACCACCAAAAGAAAGCTCAATTCGTGGGGGAAAAAAAGGACGTCAATTTAATTTGGGTGCAGCATTGCATGACCGCGCAATTGTCAGTTAAAGTAATGCAAAAAAAAAATGGCCTGGTCAGGAAGGGGGGATCCTCAGCAATGCAAATGGTTAATGCATCAGCTCATCCCCCACAGTTATTACCTTTTGTCCCACCAGCCCCTCCCTATTAGATTGTAAGCTCCCAGGATCAGGGCCCTCCTAACCTTCTTGTATTGAATTTTATCATTGCTGTATTGTCTCCTTTTATATTGGAAAGTGCTGAGCAAACTGTTGGCACTATATAAATCCTGTATAATAATAATAGTTTGTTGATGATATAACTTTCACACAGACTAAATATTATACACTTGGGTTATGTTTACCAAATAAATGTAACAGAATACATTTTGGCCTAAATTTATGAAGAAATATAATTTGCAAAATAAGAAATATAATAAGAAAAATGTTTTGTTTTTTTCAAAATGTTCGGTATTCCACTTATATAGCAAAAATAAAAAACAAAGTGCTGATTAAATACTACCAAAAGAAAGCTCTGTCTTAAAAAAAAAAAAAAAAAGTTTCAAATTTCATTTGGGTACAATGTTGCATGCATGACCAAGTAATTGTCATTCACAGTTGGCGCTATATAAATCCTCACAAAAATATATAGAAAACTTGTGCCAAAGGAATAGACAATAAATTAAAATAAATGCTGCTGTTCAGAAATGAACTAAACATCAAAATATACTCATAAACTGATACAGCACAAATAATAAAAATGTGAAAAATTAGATATTAAAGTCCAACAAAAGTCCCAAATTAAAGTCCAATGTCCCAAAAATTTGTGAAAAAAAATTAAATAGAACTATAACTCAAACTTCATACATTTTCCAGCATGCTCACATCTTCAGAAAATGTATGAAGTTTGAGTTATAGTTCTACTTAATTGTTTTCACAAATTTTTAGATGTGAGCATGCTGGAAAATTTATGAAGTTTGAGTTATAGTTCTATTTAATTGTTTTCACAAATTTTTAGATGTGAGCATGCTGGAAAATGTATCAAGTTTGAGTTACAGTTCTATTTATTTTTTTTTTCACCAATTTTTAGATGTGAGCATGCTGGAAAATTTATGAAGTTTGATTTACAGTTCTATTTAATTTTTTTCACAAATCTTTAGATCTGATCATGCTGGAAAATTTATGAAATTTGAGTTATAGTTCTATTTAATTGTTTTCACAAATGTTTAGATGTGAGCATGCTGGAAAATTTATGAAGTTTGAGTTATAGTTCTATTTAATTGTTTTCACAAATTTTTAGATGTGAGCATGCTGGAAAATGTATCAAGTTTGAGTTACAGTTCTATTTATTTTTTTTTTTTCACCAATTTTTAGATGTGAGCATGCTGGAAAATTTATCAAGTTTGTGTTACAGTTCTATTTAATTTTTTTCACAAATCTTTAGATCTGAGCATGCTGGAAAATTTATGAAATTTGAGTTATAATTCTATTTAATTGTTTTCACAAATGTTTAGATGTGAGCATGCTGGAAAATTTATGAAATTTGAGTTACAGTTCTATTTATTTTTTTTTCACAAATTTTTAGATGTGAGCATGCTGGAAAATTTATGAAGTTTGAGTTACAGTTCTATTTAATTTTTTTCACAAATTTTTAGATGTGAGCATGCTGGAAAATGTATCAAGTTTGAGTTACAGTTCAGTTTAATTGTTTTCACAAATTTTTAGATGTGAGCATGCTGGAAAATGTATCAAGTTTGAGTTACAGTTCTATTTTGTTTTCCACAAATTTTTAGATGTGAGCATGCTGGAAAATGTATCAAGTTTGAGTTACAGTTCTATTAATTTTTTTTTTCTACAAATTTTTAGATGTGAGCATGCTGGAAAATCTATGAAGTTTGAGTTACAGTTCTATTTAATTTTTTTCACAAATTTTTAGATGTGAGCATGCTGGAAAATGTATCAAGTTTGAGTTACAGTTCTATTTAATTTTTTTCACAAATTTTTAGATGTGAGCATGCTGGAAAATGTATCAAGTTTGAGTTACAGTTCTATTTAATTTTTTTCACACATTTTTAGATGTGAGCATGCTGGAAAATTTATGAAGTTTGAGTTACAGTTCTATTTATTTTTTTTCACAAATTTTTAGATGTGAGCATGCTGGAAAATGTATGAAGTTTAAGTTATAGTTCTATTTAATTGTTTACACAATTTTTTAGATGTGAGCATTATTATTATTATTATACAGTATTTATAAAGCACCAATAGTTCGCTCAGCGCTGTACATTACAAAGGGGGACAGAACATGTGACAGAACAATACCAATACAATGCAAAACATGAGGGGATTGAGGGCCCTGCTCTTTCGAGCTTACAATCTAGGAGGGAGGGGATGGTGGCACAGGAGGAGATAGCTGTGGGGGATGGAGTGGTAGGAAGAGTGGAGGAGGTCGGCAGGTTAGCAGGGGGTGGGGTAGGCTTCCCTGAAGAGATGGGTTTTCAGGGTGCGCCTAAAGGAGAGGAGAGTAGGTGATAATCTGATGGGTTGGGGCAGGGAGTTCCAGAGGATGGGTGACACCCTGGAGAAGTCCTGGAGGCGGGCATGGGAGGAGGAGACCAGGGAACTAGCATGCTGGAAAATGTATCAAGTTTGAGTTACAGTTCTATTTAATTGTTTCCACAATTTGTTAGATGTGAGCATGCTGGAAAATTTATGAAGTTTGAGTTACAGTTCTATTTAATTTTTTTCACAAATTTTTAGATGTGAGCATGCTGGAAAATGTATCAAGTTTGAGTTACAGTTCTATTTATTTTTTTTCATAACTTTTTGGGACATTGGACTTTAATTTGGGACTTTTGTTGGACTGTAATATATCATTTTTCACATTGTTATTTGTATCACTTTATGGCTCTATAAATCCTGTCTAATAATAACAATACATATGGCCACCTTTCTGCTGCACGTGGAATGGCCGGCTGAGCGCTGAGTTTGCACATTTAAATAGAAATGCGGTCAACCCATGGGAATAACGTCTTCTCTTTACCATTCAGATTTCGCATTGTTTCCGCAGACATATTCTGTGTATTTGTATATTTTGTAGGAGCCTTTTTAATCTGATCCGGCCCCACCCTACCTCTCATGGCTGCTGGTCAAAGGATCTGCATAGTTTTAGCCAAACCACATGCAGGAAGTTTTATGAGTCACCCTCATGGGTATCATTACCAGGAACACGGCTACAACAAAGCATGCTCTTCTTCTGCCATAGCCCCTGACATACAGCGCCTCTGCTGAAGGCAGCTCCCCTCGGCTGGCAAAGCACAAATGATTGTTCCTTCTTATCGCACATCCCTGTACGGCAGAACAGAATTATGACATGGCATGTAATAATACGAGGCTTGTAGGAAGGAGGGCCCCACTCACAAGAGCTCCTAGTCCAGGGGAGGGGGAAGAAACAAAAGTTCAAGAGATTTGTAAAGTATGGTACAGAGAGCACCTGTTTGTGATTAGCGGAGAAGGTTCCTTGCCTGGATGAAGTTTGTTGCGGTAGTTGTGTATGTAGATCAACAGGGAAATGGTCACGAGCTTGTCTGAAAAAAAAAAGTTTTCAGACAGTTTAAAGCGGTCTTTCTCAACCACGATTCCCTGGATCTATGGGGCTCCTCTAGAGCAGGGGTCTCCAAACATCCTAAAGAAAGGGCCAGTTTACTGTCCTTTAAACTTTTGGGGGGCTGGACTGTTGTCATTGGGAGTAGAAAATGTCCTGGATTAGGAGTAAACAATTCCCCATGATTAGTATTGGTGGCAGGAATAGTGTCCCATTGTTGGTGTCAGTAGGAAGAATAGTGCCCCATCATTGGTGTCATTGGGAGGAATAGTGCCTATCATTGGTGTCTGTGGGAGGAATGGTGTCCCATCATTGGTGTCAGTGGGAGGAATGGTGCCCCATCATTGGTGTCAGTGGGAGGAATAGTGCCCAATCATTGGTGTCTGTGGGAGGAATGGTGTCCCATCATTGGTGTCAGTGGGAGGAATGGTGCCCCATCATTGGTGTCAGTGGGAGTAATGGTGCCCCATCATTGGTGTCAGTGGGAGTAATGGTGTCCCATCAGTGGTGTCAGTGGGAGGAAAAGTTTCTCATGAATGGTATTAGTGGGAGGAATAGTGCCTCATGAATAGTATTAGTGGGAGGAATAGTGCCCCATCATTGGTGTCAGTGGGAGCAATAGTGTCCATCATTGGTGTCAGTGGGAGGAATAGTGCCCCATGAATAGTATTAGTGGGAGGAATAGTGCCCAATCATTGATGTCAGTGGGAGGAATAGTGCCCCATCATTGGTTTCAGTGGGAGGAATAGTGCCCCATCATTGGTTTCAGTGGGAGGAATAGTGCCCCATCATTGGTGTCAGTGGGAGGAATAGTGCCCAATCATTGGTGTCAGTGGGAGGAATAGTGCCCCATCATTGGTTTCAGTGGGAGGAATAGTGCCCCATCATTGGTTTCAGTGGGAGAAATAGTGCCCCATCGTTGGTGTCAGTGGGAGGAATAGTTCCCGATCATTGGTGTCACTGGGAGGAATAGTGCCCCATCATTGGTGTCAGTGGGAGGAATAGTGCCCCATCATTGGTGTCAGTGATCTGTAAACTGCAGCCCTGGGGCCAGATGTGGCCCTTTCCCTACCTCTGTCCAGCCCTGGGAACACTATTCCATCCACGACTGACAACAATTATTGGTGGGAGGAATAGTGCCCCATCATTGGTGTCAGTGGGAGGAATAGTGTCCCATCATTGGTGTCAGTGGGAGGAATAGTGCCCCATGAATAGTATTAGTGGGAAGAATAGTTCCCTATCATTGGTGTCAGTGGGCTGCTATTACTCCCACTGACACCAATGATGGGGCGTCATTCCTCCTACAGACACCAATGATGGGGCACCATTCCTCCCACAGACACCAATCATGGGGTACCATTCCTCCCACTGACACCAATGATGGGGCATTATTCCTCCCACTGACACCAATGATAGGGCACCATTCCTCCCACTGACAGCAATGATGGGGCACTATTCTTCCCACTGGCACCAAAGATGGGCATCATTCCTCCCACTGATATCAATGACACGGTGATATTCCTCCCACCGACACCAACGATGGGGCATCATTCCTCCCACAGTTGCCAATGGTGGGTCACCATTCCTCCCACTGACACCATTGATGGGGCATCATTCCTTCCACTGACACCAATGATGGGACATCATTCCTCCCACAGACACCAATGACAGGGTGCTATTCCTTCCACCTCAACAAATGAAGGGGCACTGTTTACTTCCACTGAGGTTGGGACATGTTCTACTCCCATTGGCCACAGTCCGGCCCCCATAGAGTCTGAAGAACAGTAAACTGGCCCTTTGTTTACAAAGTTTGGAGCCCCCTGTTGTAGACTGTCATGACAGTGGCTAAACCCCATGAGGTCACTACTTGTTCACCTTGTCATAACGGTAGAGGATTGTGCACTGAGATTGGTACTTTTTGCTTGCACTTGAATTTGTTCATACTATGTATTATATTGTACTACTTTTTCAATGTCACCGCTGTCATTTTCTGATGCAAAAAGTTCAATGAATGCTAATTTTAAAAAAAGTTACATTTTTAAAGCGACCTAATCATGCCATTTATATGTTCCATAAATACTAATCTTTCCTGTTGGCCACACTGCTAAACTCCACTCTGAGTCTGAATAATTGCTGCCAGGAAGTTAAAGGCTGGCCATACACTATACAATTTTCTGTCCAATTTCTGCCCAATTTCCTTTAGATTTACCTTCAACTTTGTAGTGCAAGAGCCTGCCTAATTGGATACAACTGAAAGTGTTGTTAGGTTTGACCTCCTATTATATGGTTTTTGGTAAATCTAAACCACAAATCTCAAGAAAATTGTATAGTGTATGGCCATTCACACCAATGTGCTTTTTGCAGAAACAAACTACAGTCCATTTAACATGGTTTCCTATGGAACACGTTCCCATCTATGCTTTTTTGAGCTGCTGCGTTTTTTGAAAGGGTCAGTGACTCTTCTCAAAGCAAAAAGCACAATAGAGTTCAATGAAGAAGCTGCTGAAATGCATTTTTTGTACGTTTTTGCAGCATTTTGCATTTTTATTCTGCCCAGCAACAGAAAAAATTCCAGTTTAAAAAAAAAATTGTACGTTTTTGCCACGTTTTGCATTTTTATTCTGCCCAGCAACAGAAAAAATTCCAGTTTAAAAAAAAAATTGTACGTTTTTGCCACGTTTTGCATTTTTTATTCTGCCCAGCAACCAAAAAAATTCCAGTTTAAAAAAAAAAAGCTGAGCAAAACGCTGTAAAAATGCATCAAAAATGTGTGTGGAAAAGTTAAAAACGAACTGCAGGAAGCACTGCAGAATGAACAAAAAGCAAACTGCATAGGTGTGAATGGAACCTTAGGGCTTGTTCATACCATAGAAAGCTATGTGTCCTGTCCACACCATACATGTGCAGTGAGGTGCAATGAAACGCCGTTCTACAGACAAGCTGCTGAATCATGGGTCCCCTGAAGCTCTTGCTGGATCCTCCTGCTGACCGCTACCCATTACAGGTGACAGTAGTGTTGGGAATGCAACAGCATGTACTATATAGTATTGTGTGTTAATATCACTTGACCAGTAGATGGCACTGTAAAGGTTACTAGTTGTGCATATGTGTTAAACTTGTTGGTTTTCTCTCTCTCTCTCTTCAGGAAGTAAGATGTCTGCTGTTATACATTGCTGAAATGTGCTTTGTATGTTTGCAACTTAACCTCTTGCCCTCCTGAGGATTTACCCCCCTTAACTAGCTGTCGACCGCAGATAGCCGAATGACGGCTGCACTGCAGCCGGCCAGTTCTGGGTGGACGTTATATGACGTCCTCTCAGAACGCGCTCTCCTGCGCGCCCCAGGGGGAGCGCACCCGGCGATCTCCGTGATCGCTGTGTCCTACGGACACAGCTGATCATGTGATGTGGTAAAAGGCCAATCACAGCGGCCTTTTACCACGCTGTGACACGCTGATCAGAGGGAAATGCAAGCGCCGGTTCTCGGCTGCACTTTCCTCACGCTGTCAGATCGTGAGGAAAGTACTGCCGAGAACCGGCAGTTGTCAGAGCGGGGATCGGCACCGATCATCAGGGCACTGATGATCAGTGCCCTGATGATCGGTGCCCAGCAGTGCCACCCGCAAGTTCCGCCCACCTGTGCCCAGCAGTGCGCCCACTAGCTCCGCCCACCTGTGCCCAGCAGATCACCCACCTGTGCCCAGCAGTGCACCCACCTGTGCCACTCTGCAGTGCCACCTACCTGTGCCCAGCAGTGCCACCTACCTGTGCCCAGCAGTGCCACCCACCTGTGCCCACCCACCTGTGCCCACCAGTGCCACCCACCTGTGCCCACCCACCAGTGCTGCCCACCAGTGCCACCCACCAGTGCAGCCCAGCAGTGCTGCCAGTCAGTGCCACCAGTCAGTGCCCAGGGGTTGTGCCAGTCAGTGCCGCCAGTCAGTGCCCAGCAGTGATGCCAGTCAGTGCCGTCAGTCAGTGCCCAGGAGTGATGCCAGTCAGTGCCGTCTCTCAGTACCCATAATCAGTGTCACCTATCAGTGCTGCATATTAGTGCCGCCTATCCGTGACACCTCATTAGTGCTGTCTATCAGTGCCGCCTATCCATGCCACCTCATTAGTACTGCCTATCAGTGCCCTTTAGTGCTGCCTATCAGTGCCCATCAGTGCCGCCTATCAGTGCCCATCAGTGCTGCTTCATCAACGCACATCAGTGAAGGAGAAAAAATACCTGTTTGAAAAATTTTATAAAAGAAACAAAGAAACTTTTTTTTTTTTTTTTTTAATTTTTTGCATTTTTTTCATTTATAGCGCAAAAAGGAAAGCACCCAGTGGCGATTAAATACCACCAAAAGAAAGCTCTATTTGTGAGAAAAAAATGATCAAAATTTCATATGGGTACAATGTTGCATGACCGCGCAATTATCAATCAAAGTGCGGCAGCGCTGAAAGCTGAAAATTGGCCTGGTAAAGGAAGGGGGTATAAGTGCCTGGTAGGCAAGTGGTTAATGACCAGGCCTCTTTTTGCTACTCGGCGCTGCACTAATTCAACTGATAATTGCGCGGTCATGCAATGCTGCACCCAAACGAAATTTATGTCCTTTTTTTCACACAAATAGAGCTTTCTTTCGGTGGTATTTGATCACCTGTGCGCTTTTTATTTTTCACGCTATAAACAAAAAAAGGCCAAAAATTTTGAAAAAAAACCAATATTTTTTACTTTCAGCTATAAAAAATATATAGTAAACTCAAAGTTGGTTATAAATTTAGGCCAAAATGTATTCTGCTACATGTTTTTGGTAAAAAAAAATCCCAATAAGTGTATATTGATTGCTTTGTGTGGAAGTTATAGCGTCTACAAAATATGGTATGAATACTGCAATTTACGCCATTTTTCTGCTATACAGCGCTGCGTTAGTTTAACGGACAATTGCGCGGTCATGCAATACGTTACATAAATGAAATTTACATCCTTTTTTTCCCCGCAAATTGAGCTTTCTTTCGGTGGTATTTGATCGCCTGTGCAGTTTTTTTATTTTTTGCGCTATACAAAAAAGGCTGACAATTTTGAGGAAAAAAAAACAATATTTTGGACTTTTTGCTATAAAACATGTCCAGTAAAGAAAAAATGCAAAAATCAAATTTAGTCATAAATTTCTGCCAAAATGCATTCTGCGACATGTCTTTGCTAAAAAAAAACCCCAATACGTGTAAATTAATTGGTTTACGTGAAAGTTATAGCGTTTACAAATGGCGGGAAAGATACTGGGATTTTTAATTTTTATTTATACTAATAATGGCGCCGATCAGCGACATATGGCGGCAATCAGCGACATATGACGGCGACCAGCAACTTATGGCGGGACTGCGGCGGACATTTTGACACTGGGGGGGGAGCTGACTTGGGGTCACTGACATCCACAGTGACACCAATACAGTGATCAGTGAAAAAAAACCACTGAAACTGTACTAATGTCACTGGGGAGGAAGGGGTTAACATTTTTAGAATTTGCTGTGTAAGGGGAGTGTTTTACTAGGGGGCGGGGGTGTGTACTGGAGGGGGGGGGGAGGGAGGGGGGAGCTGTTCTCTCCCTCTGCAGCTTGGCAGCGAACTGTCACAGAGCAGGGATGTGTGTAAACAATGCAGCCCTGCTCTGTGTCAGTGTTCACCGCTCATCGCGGGAAAACGGCTGGTAAAAACTGGCCATGACCCGGCGGCGGAGACCCGCTGCTGACACCCGCGGGACAGGTAGGGCGGGGGCGCGCCTCGCGCGCGCCCCCTACCTGTTTTGTAGGCACATGTTTTAAAACGTGCTTTTGCCTATGAGCGCCGCCCTGCCACCGTTTATATGCGGTGACTGGGCGGCATGTGTTTAAGCCACACAAGTAAAACAGAATTCTGCCTCATCA